ACAAATACTGAGTCTTGAAAATTCAGCCCATTACCAAAGAAATCCATTTGCCATCCTACACATTCGCCAGCAGTGGGAAGCAGAGAGTCACTGCAGCTGCACACCAAAGAGCCCTCACACAGGCCCCCTCAGGGCAAATCCTCCCAAAGGTCAGCTGCCACAAGAGCCCTGGAGAATCTCAAGAACAGGTTTGTTCATTCTTGCTCCTCAAACTGGGTAGAAGAAATGTGCCATACTGTAGCAGGGGCCGCATGCCCAGTTTTAATCTGAGAAGCATTATATTATAACAATAGTGTTAAACTACAAGAGACTGGTTACATATATAACAGGGAATCTATACAAGGCAACATTAGATAAAAAATTCTCAGTTGTTTTAAAATAACAAAAAGTGTCTGATAGCTGAGGCCATAGCTCAATGGCAGAGTGCATGCTTAGAATATATAAGACCCTCAATTCAATTCCCAACCTCATCCCATGCCCCCCACTTAAAAAAAAAAAAAAGAACCATTTATGTTATGTGGCTAGCAGAAACATGGGAGGCTAGGGATAGGGGGAACACAAAATTCCATGGTTTTAGATGAATTCAACTATGTGTAAAAACAAATTCCACACTATTCTTGTTTTATCGGTTATCGAAACATAACTATAGTATGGTCACCAGCAAACACATCAATAAAACAAAAGACAAGAAGTCCAGGGGCTGGGGTTGTGGTTCAGTGGTAGAGCGCTCGCCTCGAATGTGTGAGGCACTGGGTTCGATCCTCAGCACCACATAAAATAAATAATAAATAAAGATACTGTGTTGATCTACAACTAAAAGAAAAAAAACACACACACACACACACACATTAAAAAAACAAAAAAAAGAAGACCAGATGCAGACCTAAGTGTATTCAGAACCTTAACAGGACACAGGACCAACACCATGTAACCACTGAAGCAGGGACAGGATTATGCAGTTACAGATGAAGGCTGCCAGTGACCTATCAGAAGCCAGGGGAGGCAAGAAAGGTTATTCCCTATAGGCTTCAGAGTGAGCATGGCCCTAATGATGCCCTGAATTTAGACTTTTGGCCTCCAGAATCCTGAGTCCATAGATTTCTGCTGTTTAAGGTTTAAAAAAAAAAATGACAACAAAAAGAATAATTTTTAAAAGAAAATTTTAAGTAAACAATGGACAAAGGCTATGAATCTAAAACACAAAGAAGAAAAACCTAAAAGAGCCAATATGCTTAATCCCATTAAATAATCAAGAGAATAAAATAAAAACGAGGAAGCATCAGGTTAGTAAACATTAAAAATCTGAGAACATCAAGTGCTGATAATCATATAAGGAAATGGATAAAGAATGCAGAGCACAGGGCTGGGGTACGCCTCACTGACAGAGCACACATTTAGCATATATAAGGCACTAGGTTTGACTCCCAGCACAGAAAAAGAAAAAAAGAGAGACTGCAGATCACTTAGCAATTCCCACAAGTAACTCAAGATGATTTGCTGAATGATAAAATTCTACCATGATATAATGTGGCTACGTGTCCTCAAATTTTATATGAACACTACCCTATGGTGGTTACTGTTACTTCTCTCCTGTCCATTGCTGTTAATTAAGTAACACTTATCAGTAATTGGAAATTTCAGGAGGTTATCTCCTTTCGAGAGTTACAGAACTAACTAGTGCAATTTTTACTACAATAAATGAATGTTTTTAAAACTAGAATTAGCTCGTCTGTAAACAGAAAATAGGAAAATGGCAGTTGACAAAGAAACTGTTAGTACATGGGAGGCTTTCTCCAGCATTCAGAGAAAAATATTTTCACAGTTGTGAATTTGAAGGGGGTTGGAGGTATTTGGGTGTGGTGGTTCATGCCTTTAATCCCAGCTACTTGGGAAAATGAGGCAGGAGAATCACAAGTTTAAGGCCAGCCTCAGCAACTTCATGACAGCCTGTCTCAAAAATAAAATTTAAAAAGATGTGGGGTTGTAGTTCAGTGAATAGAATCAGCATTCCATTTAGTTATAGCCTAGAGTACTTTAATACATGCTCACACAGGGATATGTTGGAATTTTCAACACAGCGTTATGAATAATAGCAGCCGGTCACGGTAGCACATGCCTGTAATCCCAGCAACTCAGGTGGCTGAGGCAGGAGGAAGCTAAATTCAATGCTAGCCTCAGCAACTGTGAGGTGCTAAGCAACTCAGTGAGACTCTGTCTCTAAATAAAATACAAAATAGGGCTGGGGATGCAGTTTGGTGGTTAAGCACCCCTGTGTTCAACTCCCCCCCAAAAAAAATTAATAAGAGCAAAATAAAAATGTTTATAAAGCACTCCTGATGCTCAGTAATAACAGAATATATAACTAATGTGGTCTAGCTATGACAGTGCATAACTATACTCCCAGCTACTCCGGAGACTGAGACAGGAAGATCATTTAAACCCAGAAGTTCAGGGCCAGCCTAAGCCTGTCCCTTAAAAATAAAAATATGCCAGGCATGGTGGTACATGTGTTTAATCCCAGCAACTCAGGAGGCTGAGGCAGGAGGCTGAGTCAAGAGGCAAGTTTGAGGTCAGGCTCAGTAACTTAGTTAGACCCTGTCCCAAACTAAAAAATAAGATGGCTGGGGACACAGCTCAGTGGTAGAGCACCCCTAGGTTCAATCCTATGTGTTGCAAAAACTAGTTAAATAAAAATAATAATGTGGTACAGTATTATATTAAAAATACAAATTTACAAAGCAGCTAAAATGAATGAGCTAGGTATATGTGTATTAACATGGCTAGATCTCAGAAAGAGGCAAAGGACAGAATGTTAAACAGTAAATTTAAAAACAATGTCTTTGGAGATAGAAATACACAGAACTACAAAAAACACAGACTGTATACATAGATTTGTTACAGAAGCTACTTAATGACAGGAGGCAGGGGTGACAAAGGTAGGAAGTACAGATGGAGAAAGACAATTAGGATTCAAAAAGAGACTGAGGGATTCAACATTACCTACATCATTAAAAAAATTAATCAGAAGAACTAAAATATTAACATTTGCTTGAAGTGGCATTACGTGGAGTTTTATTACAGTATCCTCTGTACTGTAATTTACTATTATTATTATTTATAATGAAGAAAAAGAGGCTGAGAGGAAGCATAATAAAATGGTAAGAGTGTTCCACCCTGGTAATGAGAACAAAGCTTTTTGTAGCTGCTGCTGTACTATTTCTCAATTTTTCATAATAAGCATACATTAATTTTAAAACTGGGGAAAATAATTCTGAATAGGGAAAAAACATAGGTGGTGAGTAGATTCCATGTAGTACAGTCCTGGTTCATAAAAGTACCTGCTCCTTGAAGGTTCACATAGACATGACATTTGCCCTCTTAAGTCTATAACAAAATAATCTCTAAATCCTAGAAAACCAAAACACAAACCCATTTTGAAACTTGTACATAAATTGTACATAAAATAGTAATATACGAATAGAGAAAACTTTCACCTATAAGCAACATTTTAGTCTTTGCAAAAGAATTTTTTAAAAATGGTTCCATGATCATTATTGACTGCTAATGATTACATTATAATCTCTAATTGTACAAAAATACACAGAAAATATAAGGAATAAATTTGATAGGTACTCCAGTTGAGTTTTTCATTATCACAATAATATTGTGTGGAAAGTATCTCAAACTGGTATACGATCAGGTAGTAATAAAACCATCAGGTGCAATGATGCACGCCTGTAATGCCAGCGACTCAGAAAGCTGAGGCAGGAGGATCACAGATTCAAGACCAGCTTTAGCAATTTAGCGAGGTCTTGTTTACTTTTCTTTTTTTGGTATGGGGATTGAACTCAGGGGCACTCAAGCACTAAGCCACATGCCCAGACCTATTTTGTATTTAAAAACTTAGAAGGGCTGGGGATGTAGCTCAGTGGTAAAGTGTTCCTGGGTTCAATCCCCAGAACCAAGATGATGATGATGAATACATCTATCATTGTATTCCATTCCATCACAAAACTGAAACTTTTGTCATACACAATGAACACTATTCAACTAGCTTAATCTCACCGAACCGTAATCTTAACTATACAAGGAGAAACTACTAGGACTCTCATAAAATGTTATAAGATCAAATATGGTAAATAACTTCAACTGATGGAAAACCTCCAGGGCTTAGAAGGTGAAGAAAAAGAAACAAGTGCCAGGCCCAATGCTCATCCATCGATGGCATTAGTTGTACAAGTCAGCTGAATAAGGGAAGTTTCAATTGATCCCCAAGTGGAAACAGTAAACAGACTCAGAAGACAAAACCACAGTGGAATAAAATAAAACAGAAACAAAAATTTTAAATATTGATACTTTAAACGTTGATGGTGCATGACAAGAGAATAAGTCCTATAATAACAGATTCATTCACTTGTATATAAAAAATTATGTGTGATCAGACAGGGGTTGTGCTCGCCTAGCACATGGGAGGCTCTGGTTCGATCCTCAGCACCATATAAAAATAAATAAATAAAATAAAGGTATTTTGTCCAGCTACAACTAAAAAATAAATAGTAAAAAAAATCATGTGTGATCTACAACTATATAAGTATACAGATGGAACACAGAAAACAAGTACAACAGTAAAACAGTTATGTCAGAATGGTGAATTATGTTCACCAAAATATTTTTTTTATCATTTCCTACCAACTCTGTAGATTAGTCTTCCTTATTTGTTTCAGTTCACCAAAAAAAAGAGAGATAACCCAGGTAGTAACCCAGCCCAGCCCAGCCCAGCCCAAGTCAACCAAGTAGTAGGAACTGCTAAGAACCAGAAAGCACTCAAGTCTGTAACGTTTTCATAATCAAACATATAACAAAGGCTGGGGATACAGCTCAGTTGGTAGAGTACTTGCCTCACATGCACAAGGCCCTGGGTTAATTCCTCAGCACCATATTAAAAAAGAAAAAAAAAAGGTAACAAAAGGATAACTCCAAAATTTCAAAGTGCATCTTACCAACGTGATGTCTCGGGAAGCTGCAGCGGCGCTCATGTGCAAGCTAGGCTGCCTCACAGAACTGCTACAGTCCAGGGCTCTAGCAAATGTCCCAACAGCCCTGAATAAACCAATCACAAACAGGAAAGAGTAAAGCCTTTATTATTTTTTATATTTTAAAAAACACAATGTGTCATGGTTCACTGTAAATATAGAATTTTTGTACTTATAACTATTTAGTACCTATTAGCAATTCTCCTCTTAAGTCAGGAGAAAGGAAGCCTCTCCTAGGTGAAGTAAATTGGGCAAATAATAGATAGATAGATAGATAGACAGATAAAACCACACTGCATGATGAATGAAAAATTCTAAAAGAAAGGCAAAACACATTGTTGCATGTTTAAGAATCAATTATCCCAGGAAATGGTTTCATTTGTTTCTCTTTTGTTGTTATTGTTGTTTGTTTTTCTGGTCTTGAACTCCTGGGCTCAAGTGATCCTCCTACCTCAGCCTCCCAAGTAACTGGGAATACTGGAGCATGCCACTGAGAATTTTCTTTTGTAAAATTTAATACAGGGGGCTGGGGATACAGCTCAGTTGCATGCAACAAGGCACTGGGTTAAATCCCCAGGACCACAAAAAGAAGAAAAAAAAAAATGATTTAATACAGGTTGAATGTTCCAAAAATGTTCCAAAATGTTCCAAAACCCAAAACTTTGAGAGCTAACATAATCCAAGTGGAAAATCCTATGCCACGACACTTTGTTCCATGCACAAAATTATTTAAAATATTGCATAAAATTACCTGCACCAACATATATAAGGTGTATCTGAAATATAAATAAATTTTGTGTTTGGACTTGGAACCCACACACAAGACACTTCATTATATATTTGCAAATATTCCAACATTTAAAAAATTCTAAAATCAAGAAAAAATTGCTGGGCTTAGTGGCACCTGCCTATAATCCCAGCAACTCAGTAATCTGAGGCAGAAGAACTGCAAGCTCAAGGCCAGCCTCAGCAACTAAGCAAGATCTTGTGTCAAAATAAAAAATTAAAAAGGACTGGGGGGGTAGCTCAGTGGTAAAATGTCCCTGGGTTCAATCCCAGCACACACACACACACACACACAAAAAAAAAAAAAAAAGTAAGGGAGAGGGAAAAGAAAAGAAATGAGAAGAGCAGAGCCAATATGGGCATGAAGAAGGAAAGAGAAGAACTATTAGAAAATAACATGGAGTAAACCATTTTGTGTTCATATTTGTTCAAGAAATGTAATTACCTGCAGAGTTCTGACCACTTTTTTTGCCCAAATTGTGAAATCCCAGTAACATTTTTTTCCTTTAGCTATAATTAACTAAAGCATTTCTTGTATATATAATAGATTTCTACTGAATCCCATTAAGAAAAACAAATTTCCACCACACTGGTATTCACTGATGAAAAGGCCTTCCTATAGGTGAGGAACCTTAATCTCAAAAGGTGCAGCACGAAAAGAACAGGATATTCGGGGCGGGGGTTGTAGCACAGCAGTAGAGCGCTTGCTTTGCACGTGTGAGGCACTGGGTTTGATCCTCAGCACCACATAAAAATAAATAAAATATCGTGTCCACATATAACCAAAAATTTTTTTTTTTTAAGAAGACGATATTCACTACTTCTTGCTTGTAGTTTAAACATGGTAACTGAGGAGGCCTTAAAAAAAAAAACAATTAAAATAGAACATATGTGAAAAACTACCACAATATACAACTATTTAGTTATCACAAAGCGAACATACACAGTTCACCAGTATCCAGGTCAAGAAATAGAAGGTAATGGGAGCCTGAAGTAGGAGGATTACAAGTTCAAGACCATCCTAAGCAACTTAGGGAGACCCTGTCAAATAAAAAAGGCTGGGTACGTAGCTCACCCTGTGGTGAGCTTTGCTCACACAGAATCACCCAGTACGGATACATTTATGTAAATGTCTGGCTTCTTTTGCTTAAAATGCTGTTTGTACAATTGTCCACATTGACAGGTGGAGCTATATGAATTTATTTTCCTTGTTATAGAGCATTCTTTTGATTTCCTTACCCCACCTCTACTTTATCAATCACCAACATTAGGTATTATAGAACAAATATTAAAGAAATTTTGTAAACTCCTTAGCAACCCTCATTCTGATTCAAGGGAAAAGAACATACAGCCTTTGGGGATCAGAAAAAGGGGTGTGGGGACAATAATGCAAGTCAAATTTGTCACCTGCAATGTCTCCTAAACAATTTAGACAACTTTCTGGAGCCTCTAGATCAGGGGTTCCACTATTGATATCATTTCTATTCTTTGAACTTCAGTTTTCTCCACTCCACACACTGGCTCCTCCCCAACAATATACAAGTGTTTTAATCTAATCATTCAGTGGCCAGGCTTGTGGGCAGTGGATCTGAATGCCAGCCAGTAGTATAGTGTGCACTTCTACAACCAATACCTCTAAGAACAACTCTGGCTAAGCCTGCTAAGCCTATTTTCTCCTTTGTATGATGAAAACACAAACACAGAAAATCAAGAGAATAGAATAATGAAGACCTTTGCCCCCACTGTCTAGATCTAACTAATTCTAATATTTTGCAATGTCTGATTCATGTTTTAAGGAAATAAATATTATAAGCCTGATTAGAGCACTCTCAATATACTCCCAAACCAAATATGTATATTTATGCCCATCTATATATAATATACATCCCATTAATGAACTAAAGCACTGTTTTGCACATTCTATAACTTTTAATAAATGACCACACTGTATGCATGTATTAATAAATGATCATACTGCATATACCTTCATTAGACATTACTTTTGAGATTTATCTCTTAGCTACTATGTAGAGCTCTAATTCATTCATTTTAATTGTTGTAAAGTAGTATTCCATTCTATGAGTATACCTCAATTCATTCATCTATTGCTTGCTGATGTACTTTTAGTTTTTTCCTCCAATTTAGCCACCATTATGATGCTTCGAAAATCTCATTTACTTTTTGCTTTGTTGCAATTTTCCCCATGAGCATCATTTACTTCTATAACTGAAAAAATAAAAATAAAATTCTGTTCCATTCACTTTTTCAAGAAAAGAGGAAGGGTAAGAAGAAAGTTGGCAAGACTGAAAGCTCTCAAAGCAAAGCCCTGTGCTTAGCAGGACACCTTACTCATGCAAGGATGCAGAGTACATGTTGCACATTTTAACGGAACCGGAACAATCCATTCTAGAGTAAAGCCATGTTCAGAGCAAAAGAAATCATTGCTTTCATTAAAGGTATGGGATTTCAGGTGATGAATTTCTTCTTTATACGTTTCTGTTCTCTTAAGCAATGAAAATTAATAAATCTATTTTTAAACTGAAATAAATGATAGTAAATCATATTACTCAGGAGGCAGTGTGACACACATAAAGCTTCCTTACATAACTAGAAAAAGATTAATACAACTAATGGGGAAAAGTAAGCACATAGAAAAAAATACACACATCTATAACTTCTTTTATAAAATGAAATTTCTTGGGGCTGGGGATGTGGCTAAAGTGGTAACGCGCTTGCCTGGCATGCGCGGGGCGCTGGGTTCAATCCTCAGCACCACATAAAATAAAATAAAGATGTTGTGTCCACCGAAAAGTGAAAAATTAAATATTAAAAAATTCTCTCTCTCTCTCCTCTTTAAAAAAATAAAATAAAATAAAAAGAAAAAGAAATTTCTTTACTCAAAGATGTCATACTTACCGAGCTACAACTAAGAACTGGTCAATCTGTCGGTCTGTAAGTGGGCTATTTGGATCCCAAACTTTCATTTCCAATTTTGACTGTTCTCTCTCATCTGATTCTCCTGCCCAAGAACAAAGGAAAGAGTCTGGGTTACTCACAAAGCACACTGACACACGTGGCGGGTAACTACGCTCACAACAGCATTAGAAATGCTCCAATGTAAGGTAAATGTTCACAGTTTTAATACATTCTTTCAGACAGCAGATGAACAAAACCTGATAAAGTGAACAATGAGGATAATAAAACCAAACCAACAATCTGGTATCAGCAGTAGCATGCATTTCCTGAGCACCTGTAGGCGTGAGGCACTGAGTCCCATGCTAAGGAATATAAAGATGAAAGAGAAATCATCCCTGCCATAAGATACTTCAACTATGATAAAACATGTGCATAAATGCCTTTGATACAAATAAAAGAAATAGATGTCATAAGAGACATATTAATATGGCTGAAAGAATCCAAAGACTAGAGAAATCATGTCAGACTAGCTAGGAAACAATGTCACGAAGGGAGCGGCATTTCTGCTAAGAACTGAAAGGTTATGAAACCCTGGCAGAGGAAGAGGACTTTAAAAAACTATGAGAACAGGAACAAAGTCATGGGGTATTAAAATGTGATAGAAAAATAGCTCTTTTTGCCTGGAGAACATTAAGGGGAATGAGAAAAGATAGTCAACAGAAGGGGGGTTATGAACACATTACTGGAGATTCTACACAGATTTTCTGAACAGATTTTATTTGGAGGTAATGGGAAGCTATTGCCTGTGCATGTACATGGCAGGGGCCGGGGATGAAGGGGGACTGGTGATTGAACCCAGAGGCTCACACATGCTAGGCAAGTGCTCTACCACTGAGCTATATCCCTAACACATTTTACTTTATTTCCAGAGAGGGTCTTACAAAGTTTCCCAGGCTGATCTCAAACTTAAAATCCTCCTGCCTCAGCCTTCCTCGTCACTGGAATTACAGGCATGTACCACTGCACCTGGCTAAGCCTTTGTTTTTTGAGTAAGGGAAGGACAAAACCAGAACCAAACTTCAATTGTCCTAGTTAGCAATGGTACGTGATTTACTCTGCAAAGGTAACTGATGAGGTCAAAAATATGTTATCCAATTCCTTTGAGTTCCACCTGCAGTTAATGAATAAGCAGCTGAAACATGGTGCTAGAATAGCAACAGAGAGTGAAGAGAAGATTCAGGATGCCAGTGACACATGGAGGTAGAGGTTAGATTTCAAGTCTTATGGGCTGTATGGATAGTGCTGGCATTGGCAGAAAAAAGGAACACAAATAGGAGGTGAAGGCCAAGGACTCACTATGGTACAAGATGCTTTAACATCTTACAGGGAGATACAACCATTGGGCAGGACTTGATGCAGAACAAAAGATGGTAAAAGGAAATAGGCCAAAGGTGATAGTGCACGCCTGTAATCCTAGTGACTTGGGAGGCTGAGGCTGAGGCAGGAAGGGGAGCAAGTTCAAGGCCAGCCCCAGCAACTTAGCAAGACCCTATCTCAAAATTAAAAGTACTGCAGATGTAGCTCAGGGATAAAGTGTCCCTGAGTTCAATATTCAGTCCAGAGAGAGAGAGAGAGAGAGAAGAAAAGAAGTAAAATCATAAGAGTCAACTGGAATTTTTCTTTATGACTATGAATTCTATTGGATTAAGTAAGAGCTCTTTGCTGACAGAGACTGAGTTTGGCTTTGTTTTAATTTTGATCACTGCCATGTGTAATCAGGCAGCATGCCTTATACTCAGTGACATCATACCATGAAACCGAAGAGTCCCTGATGACCGACTCCTAGCACAGGAGCAAGTGGATATCAATGGAACAGGAGAGGACAGACGAGGTGCCACTCAACCTGCAGTCTCAATCAGCCCACTGCTGTCAGGATAGAGATAGTAAAAGGTAAGTAACTAAGGGACCAACTGCCACTCCCAGCACAAAGTAGGAGCAGAGCAGAGCAGAGCAGAGCAAGTGCTTAGCCACAGAGATCTAAAAAAATTTGAAGTTTTCATTTTTCATAGCTTTTGTTTACAAAAACCAACATTTCCCCTTTTTTTCTTTTGCCTATTTCTCTTCCCACCCTTCTTTTAATCTACAATACAGGTTCACTTTTAAAGACCAGTTAAAAACAAAAAAGCTGCAAAATATGAAACTTGAGAATGGAGACCAATAAACTTCCCTGTATCTTAAAAAAAAAAAAGTAAGAATTATTATGGCAAAAATGAAATACAGGAATGAGCTGAAGTGGTACTATTCAGTATTCAGCCCCTTCTGTTATATTCTGCAGAATGTAAGGGTAAGACTGATATTTACTACTGAAATTTGAGTTAGTTAAATTGATAAATTTCAACTACATCCATGAATCTACAGTATATATCAGAATTTATTATAAGAATTCTAAAATGAATTGCAAGCAATAAAAATACACTCCTGGATGCACTCAGACTAACACCAAACATATACACAATGCCAGAGAACAAAAAACAGCAACAAGGGCTGGGGTTGTGGCTCAGTGATAGAGTGTTCACCTCTTATGTGGGAAGCACTGAGTTCAATCCTCAGCACTACATAAAAATAAAATAAAGATGTTGTGTCCATCTACAACTAAAAAAAAAAAAAAAAAACAGCAAAAAACTAAATAAAGAAATGCTCTATATCAAACAATGTGGATAAAATGAAAGCCTCATTTTTGATTAACCAAATAACTATATTCATATAACAGTTTGACTATCTTTTCACTGGGAAAAGCTCTTGAATGAACCTATAATTTGTATTACTAGATTTCATCTAACCTAGCAGCAATATCCGAATGGTCTATAACAGTGATGCATTTCATGATTTGGTCATGTGCATTCTTAGCCACTGTAATAGTCTCACTTCCCTCCTGCATTTATGATAATTCAGACAAACACTGAACTCCTACAAATGTACCTGACAATTAACTACATCACTGTGTGTAACTTCCTATTTTTGCTTCATATAATTTTGAAGAAATGCAGATAGAGAGATGATTTTAAATGTTTGTGTTATACCTCCAACTATATTTTAAAATTTCTAGAAGAGACAGAGTGCTTCCTTTAAGAGCACCTAATGGTGTTCACATACTCAGAAGAACTAAGGCTGCATCACATTTTCATTCAAGAGGCCCTTTCCTCAACAACAGGAAACTTTCTTTGTTCAAACTACAACTCATTTTCTTTGTACCAGTTAACACAGCACTATGCTCTTATGTTACATTTAATTCAGAAATACATAAGATAAGGATGCCATTTATTACCATTTTTGTTAAATATTGTTCTGAAAGTTCAAGCCAAAGTATAAAGATATGAAATAATGAATAGTGAGTTACTAGAAGGACATCAAAAAAACAAATATAAAAAACTTGGTGACATTTCAAACAAAGAAAATGTTTCAAAAATGACATTTGCTGTGAAAATAAAAACATACAGTATCATTTTACAAAAGTATCTCTCACTAGATTAAATGTATAAAAATTTAGTTTCAGGAGTATATAAAATAGTTTTAATGATTTCTACAAATCAAATACTTTTTTATTAAAATAAGAAGGGAAAGGATTAACCAAACTGAATGGTGTTATAAAATACAGCAACAGTAATCAAAACGAGTTGGGCTAGCGGTGAAGCTCTGTGGTTGAAAGCTTGCCCAGGCCCTGGGGTTCAAGTCCCACTGGCCCCTTCCAAAAAAAGTGTTGATTAAAGTGCAGAAATACGTTGGGCATGGTGGCACACACCTGCAATCCCAGCAACTCAGGATGCTGAGGCAGGAAGATCACAAGTTCAAGGCCAGCATCAGCAACTCGACAATAATTTGTCTTGAAATAAAAACCGTGAACTCATGCTTTCTCCACTGAGTATATGTAGGCCCATATGTATAGGGTCAGTGAAATTAAAAACAGAATCCAAGATGCAGGGTCAACCCCTCCTTTTCAAACACTAGAGAAATGTTTTCACAGCTTCTTCATCTATAACTCAAAGCATCCCAATATGGTTTTAACATAGTAGAAAATGCCACAGATTTTGAGGCCACTAATTTGGCTGGTGCTTGCACTAGAGGAAGGCACTTCTATAGAATCTCTTCCTTTTTATCTTCTGTGGTACTGGGGATGGAATCCAGAACCTTACACATAGTTGGCAAGAGCTCTACCGCTTAGGTACATCCCCAACACTTTTTTTTAACTTTATTTTTGAGGCAGGCTCTCACAAAATTGCTGAGGCTTGCCTTAAACTTGTGTGATTCTCCTCAGGTTGGAATTTTGGCTTAGTGGTAGAGTGCTTGCCTAGCACATGTGAGGCACTGGGTCCAATCAGCACAACATAAAAATGAATAAATAAAGATCTTTTGTCCATAAAATAAATAAATAAATAAAGGTATTGTATCCAACAACAATAACAACAACAAAAAACCCTTGTGATTCTCCTGCCCCATCTCCCGAGTAGCTGGGATTAAAGGTGTAAGGCACCATAACCGAATACCTTTTCTTCTTTTTTTTTCCTCCATAAATTCTCAACTGTGAGAATGAATTCTTATTTTTCCCTAACTGGAGAAAGCCTCCCATGTACTAATATAATTTCTACTTTGTCTACTGCCATTTTCCTATTTACTGATTACAGATGAGCTCATTCTAGTTTTAGAAACATGCATTATTGTAGTAAAAGATGCACTAATTAATTCTGTAACTCTCAAAGAGAGACAGCTCCTGAAATTCCTAATCACTGACAAGTGTTTAAGTAACAGCAATAGACAGAGTTGGACAGGAAAGAAGTACCAGTAACAGCTACAGAGTGTTGAGCCCTGTGCTAAACACTCCATGAGAATTATTTCCTTTACTCACCAGCCACAGTGCTTTGATACACTCCATAAAGAGGAAGTTACAGGGATTGAATCATTTCCCAAGTTTATCCAATTAAAACACATCAGCCAAGTTTTACCCAAATTTGTGAACCCAGAATAAATTCTAGTTTAATCATTTAATGTTATTATAATATTTAAACAGAAATTTTAATTAACATGTAAAATAATTTTTTTCTTAAAATT